CCATTTTGTCTGTTTGCTATTTTGTGTTTCCTGGATACTTGTAGGATGTTGTTGTTGTTAAGTGCCATCAAGTCAGTTTTGACTTATTGCAACCCTGTATAGGGTTTCCAGAGAGCAACTCATGAGCTTGAACCACCAACCTTGCAGTTCAAACCAACCTTGCAGTCAAGTGTATTAACGCACAGCACCACACTAGCACTCCACTTGTAGAAAACGAGTTGGTAACCAGTAAATATCATGCAACGTGCAATTTAGAATAGTCAGCAAGCCATGTCTACATAATTCTGTTGAGGTCAAGTATGCCTCCAAAGAAAAGAGATGTATCTTTCTATGGAGTGCATAAAAATGGAGTTATTTCCAAAATTAGAGTGATCTGTAAATTTCTTAGTAAGAAAATTATATAAGTAGATTAATTTGTAAATATAACTTCTTTGGTGGTTATATGAGGGAGCTTCAAAACGTTTGTGGAAAAATGGAATTAAAAATAATGGAATTTTTCCACAAACTTTTTGAAGTCCACTCATATTAAAATTAGTTTACTGTGAAATGGTTTTTAAAAGCCTAAAAATATATTGTGTTCCTAGTTCCTCTTGAACCATATTCACTGAGTTAGCAAAGAGACAGTTATTGTTGTTAAATGCCGTTGAGTTAAATCCAACTCAGAGTAGCTGATGAGTTTGAATTGCCAACCTTGCATTTCAAACTGACCTCATGATCCAGTGCTTATCCTAAAGCATCACACCAGGACACTAAGGAGACATTAAGTATAGTAATAGTAGTAGTTTTAAGTTGAACCAGAAATAGCTGCTGTACTTTATAATCAGAGCCACTCCAAGCTCAAATATGGCTAGTCAAGCCTGATTAACACAAGCCTGAACCTTTTTTGTGTACAAAATTTATCTATTGATATTCATGTTGAATCCATTTGCTGTTTTATGTCTGCCCACTGCCACTGAATGAATTCCATCTTACAGTTACTCCTGGTGTGGCACTGTAGGATAAGCACTGGACTGTGAACAAGGTCAGCAGTTCAAACCCACCAGAGCTACTCCCTGGAAATCCAGGACTGGGTTGCTATGAAAAGGAACTGACCCAAAAGCACAACATACAGTGTTTCAGAGACTGTAAATCTTCTAAGCGAGCAGATAGTTTCGTCTTTCTCCCATAGAACATCTGATAGGCTTGAACCACAGACCTTGTGGTTAGCAGTCCAGTGTTTACCTTACAGAACTATATGAAAATAATACAAGAACACTTGAATTATATATAATTTTGATTATGACATTCCTTAAATTCTTCAGTAAAGAAGATTGGTTTTGCAAATAAGTATTTTATATAATATAAAGTTACATACATACTTACACATGTTTTCTTTTACAGGGTGAAAGCATATAGAAAAAATGTTCTGGCAAAATGTGTATGTATTTACTTTGCAATAATACTTCATAACTTTCATCTCCATGTTCTTTTTTAAATGAGTAAATTTTAGCTTCACCATGATGTGTTCACTTTAACCACAAAATGAAATATTTTTTTAACCACTTTAACCACAAAAATGAAATATTTTTTTAACTTTATAACGTCTTATATTTACTTCTGTTTTATGAATAGATAATGTAAAATTTTAAAGGCAATACTTTTATCTTAAGGTGGATGGGAAAAGTACAGAAATTGAAATCTACTCTCCTAATTGGCTTAGTTTGCTGTATTGTTTGTATATTAAAAAGTGAAAAGATTAATTCAGTTTTTATGGAAATTTAAAAATGTTTTTTTTCTGAATGTTTAACATAGCTGTCACATTTATGCTTTTGGGATTAAGGGTTTACATATTAGATGAAGTGTTGTCAAGTCAATTCTGAGTCATAGCAATCCTGTATTGGGCTTGCAAGGAGTAGCTAGCTGGTAGGTTTGAACCACCAACATTGTGATTGGCAGTCCAGTGCTAATATTACAGTGCTACAAAAGGACTCCATCCATTTGTTGTTGTTAAGTGCTGTCAAGTTGGTCCTGACCCATAGCGACCCTGTACTGTACAGGATTTCTGGTCCCTCCTGACAATATGTCTGAAGTATGAGAGACAAAGGACATATTGTCAGGAAGGACCATTCGCTGAAGAGGGATATCATGTTTGGTAAGGTGGAGGGTCAGAGATAAAGAGGAAGACCCCCAATGAGATGGACTGGCAAAATGGCAGCATCAATGGGCTCAAGAGTGGCAACAATTGTGAGGTTGGCCTGAGGACTGGACAGTTTCGTTCTGTTGTGCATAGGGTCACTATGAGTCAGTACTGACTTGATGGTACCTAACAACAGGGTTTCTGAGTGGCTGGTGAGCTTGAACTGCCAATCTTGTGGTCTAGTGCATTAACCCACAACACCACACCATGACTCCAGCTATGTATTAACATTTTCCAGCTGTGTTCAGTAAGGAGTATGACAAATCTTCCTTGACATCCATAAATAAAGCCTTTATCTTTCTTTCAGCAGGTAATAAAATTAGATTCAAGTAGAAAGGGGGATTAGATACAATAACAGATTTCTGCCTTCTGAATAAAGTGTGATATTAAGCTGATGTGATTGTATTGATGCTTCTAACAATATTTTATTACATTTCTGTGAATTGATTTAGAGTAAGATTTTTAAAAAATATTTTACAGTATGGTGGTGATATTACTCGAAAAATGAAACTTTTGAAGAGACAAGCAGAAGGAAAGAAAAAACTGAGGAAAATTGGCAACATTGAAGTTCCAAAAGATGCTTTTATAAAAGTTCTGAAAACACAATCTGATAAGTAAGATAAAATAATTTTCATGAATTAAAAATTTTGTTCTCTTTAATATTTCTTAATATTTAAATTTAAAATAATGAGAACTAGAAAAAGTACCCTCCCCTCTCAATATAAATTTGAAATCTAGGTTTTTCAGGTTTTAACCTCCTGGATTTTTCTTTGAATGGGTGTAGTGTGGTAGCTAAGAGCCTGAATTCTGAAGGCATATTGCATGGTCTCAAATAACTTTATCATACTTTAGCAATGTGCCTTTGGCCAGAGCCTTACCTTCTCTGTTCCTCTAAAATAAAATTCAGGCTATACTACTATTTACCTCTTTAGGGTTACTGTGAGGATTAAATACTACATTTAAAAATATTCAGAAGAGAGTACCTAATATGTGCTCAGTGAACCTTAACTAATTTGTTTTATATATTTTTTTCCATACTTGAACTAAAAATTGTATACTTACAGTTTGTCTGTAGTGAATTTCAAAAGTGTCAGGGTTGTTGTTAAGTGCCGAGTCGGTTCCGACCTTTAGGGACCCTGTACAGGGTTTCCGAGGCTATAAATCTTTACGGGAGCAGAACACCTCATCTTTCTCCTGCGGAGCGGCTGGTAGTTTCAAACTGCTGGCCCCAAGGTTTGCAGCCCAATTCGTAACCACTACGGTACCCACTACGTACCCACTCCTTAGGATTGTTACTAGTTGGGATCAATTTAGATGATATGTATAAATTAGTTATTAAATACGTTTTTAACATTTAATAAACTATTAAAAGTTATCTTGAAACTAGTTGGTTTACCAAATACACTAAGTTAGAATGAAGGTAAAGGCTTTCTTCTTATTCATTGCTAATATTCAAAACTTTGTACAGTGAGATATTTGGTATTAGCAGTTGTTGTCGACTAAGTTCTGAACCACAGGGTTTCCAAGGCTGTAAATCTGCAGAGAAGTCCTGGTATTGTACTATAAGATAAACTCTAGACTGCTAACTGTAAAGTTGGCAGTTCAAATACACTAGCTGCTCCTTGGAAATCCTACAATGGGATGCTATGAGTCAGAACCATTTACAACACTTAATAACACAACAAATCTTGGTGGGAGAAGAAAGTTTTTTTATCTCCTACAGAGTGGCTGGTGGAGTCGAACCATGGTCCTTGTGGTTTGCAGTCAGTGTTTTTCCTACAGAGCCACTATGATCCCAGGTATTAGCAGTGCCTCTCTGTGGCTGTGTGGTGTTGAGCTGGAAATAAAATTTAGATATCTTATATTTTTGCATTATCAGCTTTATTTGAGTTAAAGGTAGAAAATAATATACTTTATATTCAATTTAATAAGTTGTTATGGCAATCTAAAATAGTTTACAGTAACTTAAATATATTCTTTAGGCAGTTTGTATACAAGGACTGAAACTAATTTATTAAGTTTATAATAATCACAAAAATTATTTTGAAAAAAAAATTAAGGATATTTCTGATTATAAAGCTTATAGTTGCAAAGATTATTACTAAAATTAAATATGACACATATTTTTTAAGTGCTATAGAAGAAGATACATAAAAACATGTACTTTACACACTTTGTGAAGACAGGAACTGTTCTTTTAGGCACTGTAATGTCTTCAAGCCAGAATACTCCTTGTAATCGAGGGTGGCGAGATTTCATCTCAAGTACTTAAACAAGTTATAAGGGACCAGTTTCTGGAGAGGACATGCTTGGTAGAGGGTTAGTGAAAAAAGAAAATGATCTCAATGAGATGAATTTACACAGTGGCTGCAACCATGGGCTTAATTACAGCTAAGACTGTAAGGATGGTGTATGGCTAAGCAGTGCTTCTTTCTGTCGTACACGGGCTCACTATGAGTTGGAACTGACTCAAACAACAAATCTCATCAGATTTCCTTTATAAGCAATATGCATTAGGACTATTGATGTCCAAATGCTACAGATGAAACATGACTAAGGCAACCAGGTGCAGAAAAATTTGTGTATAACGCACAGAAAAAAGGTAGCATTCCAGAAGTAAAAGTTTAAATGATAGTTGTTTAGTAACCTTAAAGGTTACCTTTAAGTCTCTTCATGTTATAAGTATTTAGATCTCTATTATTCCATTGAATCATTATCAAATGGTATTTGAGCAGAATCTTTACCTTTAAAATGGCTTTTTCCCCCTTTAAACAGGCAGGCACTTCATTTCTACATTGTTTTTATTGTCCATCTCATAATCAAATGTGAGCCAACTTCTAAGGGAGCCCTACTGTAAAGTAAATACATTCTAAGTATGGAATGCTTAACATAGATAGTAGACTTTAAAAGTGACAGTATTCAAAATTCCCATGTTCTATCATATTGCATAGCTGAAAATTAATTTACTACTTATAAAGTATTATGTTCAATCAAGCAGAATTTTGCTCCAATCTCCTTCAGTTTCCTTCTTTCATACTGTATAGTGGATCCACAAGTTTATTGTGCACATGCATTAAACCTTAAAAACAAAACAAATAAAAGCAAAACACTAGTTGTATTTTTGTTAATTCTTAACTGTATCTCATTTAATTTAGAAAGCTAGATACTGTATAAGCTACAACAAGTATATTTAGTTCTCAACTGACAAAAAAAATCCAAAGTTTCAGTATGTTTAGCTTTAATTATTCACAAATAATTAATCTGTAATTGGAAAAACACAGTAGATCTTGGCTGTGTAAGGTACTTTGGGATAACCACAAGTAGGAGCAAGAGCGGTTCTTTATTATTATGACAAAATAACACATTTGAATACACATGAATTTAATGTTATATCTAAGAGTCCTGGTGTGGCACTATGGGTTAATGCACCAGACTGCAAAATTGCCGGTTCAAGCTCACCACCTGCTCCTTGGGAAACCCTATACAGGGTCGCTATGGGTTGGAACTGACTTGATGGCACATAACAACAAGAATATATCTAAAAGTCTTGGTCTTAATTCTGGTAGTTCCAAAGGGCACAAAACTGTTGCTTTGCTAGGACAGTTTTATTTGCCCATTTATTATCATTATCCATTACCTGGGACATTATTATTTTTCACTATTTTGACATCTATGACAGGGTAAACTGCAAGTTTAAACATTCTACACTGAGAAAGGTATACTAGAACAATACTTAAGGCTAGACTTAGTATTAATTTTCTAAATTTCATTTTATAGTTAGTATGCTTATAAAACAAAAATCCACACCACTGGACCAATAAACAACATTCTCATCAAAGTAGAAAAGATTGAAATTGCCAAGGACTTCATTGTTCTTGGATCAACCATCAACATTCATGGAAGTAGGAGTCTAGAAATCCAATGACATATTGCATTAGGCAAATCTGCTGCACAAGACCTTTTTAAAGTGTTGAAGAGCAAAGTGTCAGCTTGAGGACTAAGGTACACCTGACCCAAGCCATGGTATTTTCAATAACCTTATATGCATGCGAAAGCTGGACAGTGAATATGGAAGACCGTAGAAGAATTGATGCTTTTGAGTTATGGTGTTGGAGGAGAATATTGAAAGTTCCGTGGCCTGCCAAAAGAACTAATAGATCCGTTTTTGGAAGAATTGCAGCCAGAGTGCTCCTTAGAGGCCAAGATGGCCAAACTTTGTCTCATACTTCAGACATACTGTCAGGAGGGACAAGTCACTGGAGAAGGATATCATGTTTGGTAAGGTGGAGGGGTCAGAGAAAAAGAGGAAGACCCCCAACGAGATGGATTGGTCAAGTGGCAATCAATAGACTCAAGCATGGCAATAGTAGTAGGTTGGCCCAGGATCAGGCAATGATGCATAAGGTTGCTGAGTTGGTACCAACTCAATGGCACCTGACAATTAACAATGCTTATAAATTATCTTGTTCAACAAAGCTTCTTTGGGAAATATCCAGTTCTCAGATGTCTTACCCTTATCCTTAGACTCAATTAATGAATTAAATATTTTATGTTTGGGAGATTAAAGAAATATGGTATATTTTCCAGGTAAAGAACCTAGAAAAAGCTATGCTATTTTGTTTTGTGGGTTTTTTTTTTTTTTTTTTCAGGAAGTAAGATGACTTGATTGGTAAGACAGAATAAAAAGGAAAGCTGCTAGAGCACTTCAAAACCCAAATCCTGAGGAAGACCTGCTTTTAGAAGAAAAGTAAGGAAAGGAACATGCAGAGAGCACAAGGACGTTCTTCTAATGGGAGAAAAAGCCAGGGGAGGAGAAAGCATCATTAAAAAGAGTGAGAGGGGAAAGCATCTACTAGTACAATTAAAGTGAGAATACTACTTAATACCAATGTCTGGTACCTAAAATGTAACTAGGTCAAGGCTTGATTTCTGTCTCCGTCAAGCCAAAAATATGGTATATGGTGTCACCCTGAGCCAAGTTCCTAAAACTAGAAATTTACAATTCATTTGTTGTGATTTTCTTTTCTCTTTCTTCATTTAATTCACCAAGACCAGGTGCCTCTACTGTTTGGTACTACTTTGAAGCCATGAGGCGATTTAAAAAAAAACATGGAATTAAATTGAATTAAAAAATGGTGTAATTTTTCCACAAATTTTTGTAGCCCCCTAATATACCTAAAATAGGCCATAGTTCTTTATCTCCACTGCTACCATGCTCATCTACTGTCGTGAATACCCCAACTCAATACTCTATTTCCACTACTTTACCTCTGTCACATAATACAATCATCATGATCATTTATAAATCAGAAACAGAATTACACCATTTCTTTACTTAAAATCCTCAAATTGCTGTGATCACTTAGAAAATAATCTAGGTTTTATTTTTCCCTATTATATTTGTTTACTGCTCTGATAGCTGGTGCTCTTATTTTCTTCCTTTCTAACTAACACTGTGGTGATGGTGGTGGTGGTGTGCCATGGAGTCTACACATAGCATAACTCCTTTACTAACACTGTAGTCTATTTGAAAATGTTTTTCTATCATGTTTTTCATTAGAAACTAAAATCCAGGGCCTAATTCACTGCTTTATGCCCTAGGTTTATAACAGTAATTGCACATAGCAAGAAGTGCAATAAACTTTGTGAAAAGAAGACTGGAGATTAAGTTAGATGTTGGTTGCTAGAAGGTAATAACTAGGGTATGTGCTGATAGGTAAGACAGAAAGGAATACAGGCATTGGTAGAAAGGCTAGATATGAAAGGAAAGGATGTATAACGGATCAAGCTAAATCTGGAAGCTTGAAAGTAGTATCGTAGAATGGCAGAAGTTAAATCTCCCATGCAGATGAAGAGAAAAAGGGACAAGAAATTGAAATGGGTATTGGGGAAACTTTGAAAATAGTAAAACTGGAGCAACAGCTGACCAGGAAAACAGAAAACCCTGTATAAAATGTACTAAACTAACAATTGATTTTACTTCCTGATATGACATGGGGGTTAATGGGCTAGACTGCAAAGTCGCTTTGAACCACAAGGACGGCAGTTCAAGATCACCATCCACGCCTTTGAAACCCTACACAGGGTTACTATGAGTCAAAATTGGCTTGATGGCACTTAACAAGTCAGAACAAATTTGATGATACTCAACAATAAATGTATCAGATGTAAGGAAACTTAGTGGCCAGACACTCAGCAACAGAAAATAAGAGGCTTTCTGTGCCAATAAAGACTTATAGTATCAGAAACACTATACATGGTTGCTAGAGTTGGAACCAACTCAACAGCACCCAACCACCGCCATGCATTAGATATATGGCAGCCACTTAACTTTTTAGTTCTAGGTATTTATCTGTAAAATGGAGGACTCTTGAGTTCAACAATTCTGATGCTACAATGCAGAACAGAAGGAAACTCAACATTGCATAAGTTTTTCAGTTTCATGCTGACATTTGGTTTATATTTCGTTGATTCTACAGTGCCACATGAAGACTCCTATGGAGGTGGTTGTTAAGTGCTGTCAAGTCAGTTCCGACTCAGGGACCCTATAGAGGATGTCCGAGGAGCAGCTGGTAGTTTTGAACTGCCGACCTCGTGGTTCACAGTCCAGTGCTGATCCTACAGCGCCACACCAGGAATCCATGTAGGCTAGTACTCATTTATAAATAGTTTGGCTTTGGCTTGCATTAGAATATTGCACTTTTACAAAGGTTAAAAATCCAAGGTACTATTGTTTATAAAATTAAAAATTACTCGATATTTAAACAGGGAAAAAAGTTAAATTCAGCATGCAGTCAAAAAGTAAACCATTCACTACTGAGCTACCTCCTAGTTTAAGACAGATGATAGAAACTATCTACCTGGATGAAATTAAGAAGGTCAAATTTTAATCTAGAATCCAAATAGTCCTCTAGTCCTCAAAATATATAAACACATATATATACATTTGCCTACATATGTACGGTTTTTCTGAAGACAAGGTCTCTTCACCAGGTCCTCAAAGGGATACAGACTTAAAATTAAAGGAGAACTACTGACATGTGATCCTTAGCCTTTGTTTTTGCCTTTTTTACTTTTAACCTATAAATTCCCTTACGTCTTAAAAGTATGATCTAGTCCCATCTTATCAAATACAGCTCTATTTTATGGAGTCCTGCTATGGCACTGTGGAAAATGTATGGGATTGCAAGGTTGGTTTAAACTGCAAGGTCAGTGGTTTAAATACATAGGGCCGTTATGAATCGGAATTGACTTGATGGCACGTAATCATTCTACGAATGGTGTCCTTGAGTGGTGCTGTAGGAGAAGTACTGGACAGCTAACAGCAAAGTTGACAGTTCAAACCCATCAGATACTCTTTGGAAACCCAATAGGGAGTGGCTACGAGTTGGAATCTGCTTAACAACACTTACAGAATTTTTGCCTTCGGTGCTACTGCTTATGGGGTCCCCTTAGAATATAAATTCTACCTATCTTCTAAGGCTCTCACCCTATTAGCACAATTCAGATTTTCTTAAACCATTCTGTAAATGTGAATCTCTCCCTTATTTAATCTCCTTTGGACAAAATAGTTGATGAACAAAACCAAAGTACATGTTTTCAAGAGATTTCATTTTAATGCAATATATCATCTCATTTTCTCAAGTTATTAATAATTAGCCAACTTTCTACCAAGCATGAACTACTTTCAGGCAGAGATAACTTGTACTGCTTTTGACTCACAACAATGTGAAACATATCTGAAGGTATTTTAATCCACAGTTTCAAAAGGATAATATGATTTACATTTATAAAAAATACACTAAGGGTTAATTTTTTTTGTAGAACTAAAGAAATCATTTTCTAATGAAAATGATTTACCAGATTTCTCAAAAAAGAAACAATCCCATGTAAAACAGGATTTAACTTTGAAAGTTTAATTCATTTTTACTAACCACTATGTAAGTAAGTAGTTAAATGCCGTTGAGTCGGTTCCAACTTATAGCAACCCTGTATAGGGTTTCCGACAAGTGACTGGTGAATTTGAACCAGAGGTAGAATAGCTATTTAGAAGACAAGTCATTTTCTAAAGCAACATTT